TACTGTTCTGAGGGTTTAAGGGGAAATCTTGTCAAATTTGCTAACGGTATCTTGCTGTTCTGTGGGCTTCAAAGGAACTGTAGCCACATTTGCTAGCAGTTTCTTGCTATTCTGGGGCTTCGAACGAGCAATAACCACTTTGCAAATAGGCGTCCCTATACGATAGTCTTCATAATTGAACATCCGTCTTTAGGAGTTGTATGTAGGTGGGAGGGGCGAAACAAGTAGAATGTTCCTTGAATGAGTTACACGCACGTGCGTGGACTCAGCAGGAGAAAGTCGCGGAGATCTAAAACGAGGTAGACGTCTACGAATGACCAGTATAAATGGGGTTTCTTGTTGATGCAGTCAGCCGGTGATACAACGAGTAACGCGAGTTTGCCAAACAGTTTTGTAATAGGAAAGCAGTAAATATTGAGTGCTTTTATTGACGTTCTGTTGGGCAGCCACACGATGCAGAAAACATGTGATCTGCATCGAGATGTAACCTGTTATAATCCTCACTGGAGGCCGGCTGTCATTACAGCATCTGATCCCTTTCAGCAGGCATATATGACTGAGGGACTGAATAAACAGCACCACTTTCCTTTCCTTGTGGCGTTCAGAATTCCTTGCAGAATACCGACCTCGTTGAAAGATAGGGTTGATTTCAGAAATCACACCAATATCAAGAACACAAAAGTTTCTCCCCAGAATTTCCCCATTATTTCCAAATCATTTGTAATATTTATTGACTAAATAAGTAGTCAGGGTTCACTGCGATAGAACACTTGCTGCGTGGAGTATTTGTCATAGTTATATTGGCTCTACCACACATTTTGTTGGGCACATGCACAACTACGAAGGCTGAACTTAAAACATGGCGTCAGAAGAACGGGCAATGTCAGGAGCAAAACACAAACATCTTTCGGACGAGTAACAAGTTTGTCATTTCACATGAATGTAGGTCTAATTTTTCGAAAATATTTCCTGACATGCTTGTTATATTCGCCGAACAGGAAATAGACATTGTCAGACACAATTTTAAAAGGTACAATCACTGGATTTAGTTTCCAACAATTTCCTCAGCCAAGCTGATAATCGTGCGGTAGAGGTGGCTGTTCTCAACAGAAGAAGCAGTTGATTTTGTGGACTCCGGTAGCTGGTCAATCCCTTAATTACAGCGCATCGTCCACCTTCATCCCACAATGCAGACTACCACTGTCCCGCTAATTCTATCCGCACTTCTGCCTACTTCTCCTCTCCCGCAACCCGGAGGCCAGGTCTAAAAACTGACTTCAGAAATTGTGATGAAGAAAACCAGGGCATCTGGGGGAGAACATTTGAAGTTCTTTAATTGAGAGAAAGTTGGTTTCAAATGTTTTCCAATTAAGATGACAAGAGAAGATAAATATTACCTTTGAAGAACTAGTTTTTATGTATTCAGAATCGTAACAGTGATTCTGTAATCGTTGGTCGTGTTAACTGATAAACCGATTGACAGGGGGAGAGAGAGAGAGAAGAAAGAGAGAAGGATAAATGGAAAGAAAGGAACCTCAAAATTAGTAGAAGTTTTATTTGTCTTTCGTTAACAAAAACAAGCAGATTTATCATCCTCGGTATGTATTTTTCATTCTGACTCTGTGTCTTTGTAAGTAGCTCTCTGATTAATGGCAACTCTTCTCCTAAACCTGTATACGATATCTTTAGACAGCCGAAGGATAAAAGGTAGCCCCTGCAAGGCTGCTGAACTTTAATATACACTGTTAATACGTCACTTCTTCTGCAGATGTCCCTTATCAACTGAACACAATTTAGACATATGTTCTGGGACGTAACGCCATGTAATCCGTCGAAAGTCAACCGACAATTCGAAGGAAAATGCGACTTCCACCTTCATGGATGAAGAGTGAGCCAAGGAAGAAACCAGGATGTAGTAGGCAGGAAGCAGAAATGCTTGGTTTACTGTTCAACCATGAACTTGGAAGCTGCATGTTCCTCCGAAACGCCAAATGACTTTCAACTGGCTATAGGATTTTATATCTCAAACGATAAAACTCTCCATAACCACTGCCGTAAGAACATCAGACACGATAACAGTGTTAATGTAAACGTTCACAAACCTTCTGGAACGTTCGCTGTACAAACGGTACCTGACTTCGGAATTTAAAAGCGAAAGAAAATAAACTGAATTGAAATGCTAGGGCATTTTGCGGAAATGGACGCTGAAGAAACGGGCTCTAAATACAGTTCGGGGAGCTGAAATGAAATCTCTAATAGCAGTTAAAAGTCTCCCCTTGGAAAGATAAACTAGGAGTTCCTGCTATCCTACTGCATAGATTTATATTCCTACAGACATATTGTCACGTGATGGAGTGACTATAGACGGGTTTCGATTGGTAATGGGATTTATTGAACACTTAACAGATTGTAAATATAGGTGACTATAGCGCTAACGCTAATTCACGCATTGCAGTTCATTACAGCATTACGAAGTTTTTCAGTCTGTTGTATCTTCACAGGTGTCGCCTGGTAACGGCTTCTAACGCCGTAGCTTCCTCACCTTCCGTGTTCACGTCCCTACTGGCCAGCGACTGACTCACAAGTTACTCCCAGCCTAGCGGCCACCCCGCACCAAACTCATACTCTTCTTATTGACTCTCAAGACTCTCGTAATAGAAGCTGCTTCTCGTTATATAGCCCCGGCACGGACCGTGTAGAGAAAGCGGCGTCCAACACTTTTTGTTCACATGGCTATGGCTCGGACCGCGTAGAGAACGCCATTCTTGTTACTGTATAGGACGATTACTTAGCAACGGGTCTACATGCTACAATATTTTACTTTCTGTGATCAACATAAGTTTAAGTATACATTCTGTTATAATTAATTTTTTGGAGATAATCCGAAATCTTTGCACAATCGCCATGTTTGTAATGGCGGAATTAGAAATAATCTCCATACAGAAATTCAGACGCCTAGCTCAGAAGGTTATTAGTGCTCGACATCAAACCTACCGCTACTTTCGTACGGCTGCCATGTTGTTACTCCACATCCTACAACATAATTTACCTTGATCAAAACTGCATAGTACTACTTCATTTCATGGCCGGTTACAATATAAACCGAAAGAGAGAGGAGATCTTGGACCATCGAGAAAACGATGGGCGTTCTGAAGCTGGAAAAGACAACTGACCGAACATTGAACAAGAAACAGATTACATCAACCACTACATTCGGGTATCAAATTTGTTCAGTTGGCAATTCTTGCATAACGCAATTGAATTTATTATGTCCAGCCGGACAGGTACAAAACCGCATAGTTTAAATGTTTAATTATGTGGGAATTTATTTAGTTACAGCTGTATCTGTAATGATGTCTTATTTTCTGAAGCGTGTAACTTGAGATAAATTGACCTGGTGGCCGAGATGTTGGGCCTGTCTTCCGACTTACTTCGTGTGATCCGCGTTTCTATATGGGGTGATGTATTTGCACCAACTTAACATGGCTTAAACAATGAAGTTTCTTAACTACTGTTTAAAAAATGGTCCATTGTATGCAACAATTTGTCGTAAGAACGAAAGTAAAGGAAACTAATTCTTGTATTTCCTGTGTGTTTCGTTTGTTTTCCAGTCGGATGATGATAATTACTGTTGTTTCCTGCCGCTGTCAGATGCTGCAATTGTTAACAAACACTGTTTCTATCTCGGAGCATCTTCCGCTTTCTGATTTATTCTAGATATAAATATATGTAGTATCTGTACACACTGACAAAACGGGAGTGCACACCCGGGCGCAGTCTTTCAGTGGTAAATTTTATGACTGTGGTCGGCTGTCGTTATTTAATCATGGAACACAATTACAGCAGCATAAAATGTTACAATATATGTATTTAAACTTTATGAAAGTTCGGGAAAATAAGTGTCGGGACTAATTTTTTAAAGAATTTGTTTTAGGAGCTGCGGATATTAGCCTCGTGCATTGGCACGTGTGGATAATGAGCAGTGTGTAAATTTGCAATCGGAAGGATTGAGGGGGATGTGGCCTTGGACGATATTTCTTCCGCAGGAAGGAAGACGAAGTGTGGAAGGAAAGAAACGCACAAAGAAAGTGAAAGAGTATGAGATAAACAAGAAAAAGTACTAAAGAAGAAGGGAGTAAGAATCAGGGAGAAAGAAGAGATCGAGGTAAAGCTGTCTCTATGCTTAGCTAATTTAAGCACTACTCCATGAAGACGTGTAGGGGATTAATTGCATACGAATAGATTCGCGTATTCTTGGCCACGACACTGGTTGGAGGTGAGTGGCTAGCCTCATACCCCGGCCGTTTTAGCCCGGAGAAAGAGCCTCCCGTTACCCATTGGATAGGCTGGGTGGGCCCCAGAACATGTCTGGACGACCGGGATATGAGGAAAAGCTGGCCTCTGACGGGACTCGAACTCCGACCCTTTGGTCGTTCAGCCTGTAGCCAGTCACTTTACTCTGGCCACAGGCAAAAAGAAGCGAGGAATTAAAATAGAAAGCAAAACATGAAGGACTGGCGGAAAGATGAGGGTGGGGAAGCCAGCAAAATAATAAATGATGAACGATTAGGAGGATAAGTAAATAAAAATAACGGGAATGAATGCAGAATAAAATACCGCTTTCTTAGTGTTGCGTGGGACCGCGTGGAATGTGAAAGTAGCGTGTTGCAGACAGAGCCTTGCAGTTCTGCCACCACCACAATTTATGACTGGGCAGCGAAATTTATACACTGTCATTAACTCTGTCAGAACAGTAGAATGTATGCTTATGCAAAGTATTGACTGTGGCAATGGCGAGTAACTAGCGTAATATCTCTACTGTTTATCGTTGTGTCAACAATTTAAACTATGATATGCTGTTTACTAGACCTACATCTGCTGTCAATTATCTCGGTTGGCAATATAGTGCACGACTATGGCGTGTAGTATCTCTACTGTGTGGATGCAGTGTAGCACTTGTCCTTGTTACTTAGCGCTGACATGAAGTGTACCTGTTGCAGGCTCTATCCGCACGACTCTGGTTGCAGGTTCCAGTTTCAACGTGACGTGGCATCTTGCCTACCCACACAGGGTAAGTACTTCATTTCTGAGGCTTCAGAGGCAAACAATTTTATCTTGGGATCCGCTCATCAAAATAGACAGATTTTCGTTAAATACTGTATGAACCCATGACCCTGGAGGCAGCTGCATCTTGGCATTTGTCTCATTTTTTGGTGAGTTGTTCTGAATAGTCCAAGCTCCATACAAAGTATGGACTACACTGTTGATTCAGAGGAGAATGAATTTCATGCAGCAGCGTTTAGCTCAAGCACCCAATGCCAAATTTGGTCGAAAGCCATATCGTTGGTTCTGTCCTCCAGACGCTGAGGGTAGCGGCGGATGTGCGGAACAAGCAATCAGTGCTTGTCCTGCAGAATGGGAGTTCGGCGTAAAAATGTAGAGTGGCCCAAAAGTTAGCTAACCGTTTAGTAAAATACACACTAAAATGTGCCTGAAATGTCTTCATTATTTAATGAATTTATAAACAAATGTTCGAATTGAGATTCTCCATGTTCAGTGTACAACGCAGTGATACCGTTCTACAGATTTAAGTCTGAACATTGCCATTAATATAACAGAATGCTTCCGATTAGCTGACTCTAGGGTCACTCTGTATGTGTTACTAAGTACAGCTATCACATTGCCTCAAAATTAGTCTAGATGGGCAGGTAATATTAAAATATATCGTAGATCAATGTGTTAAGTAACCTAATCAGTCAGCGTACACAGAGAATAACGTTAGGTCTGCATATCTACTTATTAGGCGTGCGTTACGAAGTACAGTGGAACCTCGCTTAACGAGCACAATTCGTTCTAGAATCTTACTCGTAATGCGAAACACTCGTTAAGCGAAACATTTTTTCCCATATAAATTAATGTAAAATACGATAATGCGTTCCATGCCGGAAAAAATACTCAACAAATTTTATGTATAACGTTTATTCAAAGAAAATTAGATGTACATTGTTAAGGAGTGTGAATCATCTTCATATTTTCTTCTATGCGGAATGAACCAACTTGGAATGCGAATTCGATTTGCAGAAAAAAATCGAAATAATTAGTTTATTATTTATGATACATATCTAATTCTTTTTTACTAGAAAGCTGTCTAGAGACACTCGTTTTTGCCGACGCTTCAAAATTTGGTGAAAATGCGACACAGCTTTATCATTGAATACTGTATTTACGCATGTATAGGCCGCACATTTTTTGCCAAAAATTCAAGAGGAAAACTGGGGTGCGGCTTATATTCGAAATATTCGAAATCACACTTCATTTAAAAAAAAATATATATTCATAATTAGTAATACAGGGTGTAATACTCCTGAAATAATATCCCAAGAAAATTATTTTTTCTATAATTTGTCTGAAAATTGTGCTGCGGCCTATACACGCACGCGGCCTATACATGCGTAAATACGGTAAATTTGTAGCGCGCATAGCCACTGTCTTATTGTGGTGATGCTTCTCAATGTACGATGCAACAGTTTCCCATGCTTTCAGCATTTCTCTTATTGCGCCAGAAGATTGTTGCTTTGCTGTTACCTCCTCCTCCTCCTCTGACAAACTCTCTTCTACAACTTCTTACTGTGAAACACAATGCAACTCCATAAGCTCCTCGGTGGTCAGCTCTTGGCTGTGCTCTTCCACAAGCTCATCGATATCATTGTTATCAACATCCAGCCCCATGATCTTGGCCAAAGACACAATCTCGTTGACTACAGGCTCCACAGGTACTATCTCAAACCCCTCAAAGTCACATTCGACAACGCTCTCCGGCCAAAGCTTCTTCCAAGCAGAAGTGAGGGTTCTCTTGGTAACCCCTTCCCGTGCCTTTTCGATCATCTTGAGGCAGGCAACGATGTGGAAGTGATATTTCCAAAACTCTCTGAGAGTGAGATTGGTCCCTTCAGTCACCTCAAAACAACGCTCGAAGAGTGCTTTAGTGTACAGCTTCTTAAAGTTAGAAATAACCTCCTGGTTCATAGGCTGGAGTAACGGAGTGGTGTTGGGAGGCAGAAACTGGATCTTGATGAATTTAAATTCTTCAAGTAGGTCATCTTGTAGGTCTGGAGGATGGCCAGGAGCGTTGTCCATAACAAGCAAGACATGGAGTGGCAGATTCATCTCAAGCAAATATTTTTTCACAGAAGGACCAAACACTTCATTGATCCAATCAGTAAAAAGGTCACGTGTCACCCAAGCCTTGTTGTTGGACCTCCACATCACATTTAGCCTGCTCTTCTGGACT